AAGAATTTTATACAAAGTAGAAAGAAGGAACAGTTTTTACGAGAAAGGAATGTTTTGAATGATTAAATTAGAATAAACAACTCATAAAACAGATTTAAAAATTTTGCAATAAAGATGTTAGTTAGAAGTATTGTAGGTAGTTTTATTTTTAAATAATACGTATGCTTTATTTGTAATATTGATGAGTATTTAAATGTAAAATATTTTTTATTGTGTAACCATAGAGTAAAAATAACAAAAAGAAAAGAAAAAAAAAGAATAAGAATGCAATAATTTGATTATTGTGTTAAAAAAGTTACAAAAAAAATAGAAAAAAAATCAATGCATGAAAATAGAAATGTGCAAAAATAAAGAGTATTTTGCTCTAAACGAAAAAAAAAATGCAAGCTTCATATGAAAAATACCTATCTATCTTTAAGTGAGACCGCAACATGCTGAGTGGTCACGGTTTCCTTGGCAGCACAGCACACACGCTTTGTTTTCTATATATGTATGGATTTAGATCCAAATCCTTGTTGTTATTATTATTATTATTCTCATCATTATCAGTATTATTACTATTATAAAATGCATGTGTACTGTGTTGATTATTCAAGGAATAAATTATTTCTATTTCTATCTAATATGAAAGCCCTGATTCGTTGTAATATGTGTGCTGTAATCTGATAAACTTACAGTTTTACTTAATTTATTAAACTTATATTGTTTTATACCGCCTGTTCTCAATTATGTTTAATTATGAAAATATTATTTTACTTTAGAATATAAAAACCTATAATTAAAATGGAAAGTCAATACATGTATGTGGTAAACACAAAAAAATTTTTATCAGATTCTGTGTTATTTCTATTTCTACGCTTTTTTACAATTTATACCATAGGCCATATATAAATTGTAAGTAATTCTGTTAATTTAATATCAATCCACACTCGTAAACTTTTTTGTAACGAAGTTTCAGTTATTGTCAATCAACAACCCACGCGATTTTTTTTCGTTTCGTTCGAGATTTGATTGGACGTTTGATGACTTTTTTTATACTAAGACGGGACGAAGAAGTCATGCGCTTTAATTCGCTACGATCTGAGGAGCACCGCCACTGCGCCAGTCGCCCTGAGACATAAGTTTAAAAATCCCATTCGTCCATCCCTGTAATTTCACTAGCATTCTTACCATTCAAAACCGGAACGCAATAATGCTCACATTACTCCTTGGCGGCAGAAGTAGATAAGATGGCAGTATTTCCCTGGACGATCTCTATTACAGGGATCTCTACTGCTACTAAACTTCAAAAATTCATTCTATTGTAATTTCAAAATCTACTTATCAAATATTAACACTTTGAGGACCTGCAGTGAAAAGATTATTAAGAGATATCTTAAAAAACACTTCTCTAAAACTTGTTTTTCGATTATAGATGTATTTAAAACATTAACATTGTGTTAGTTTCATAAAAGAAACAATGATGTGAATTTCTGTGTCTGTGTGAGAGTGTGTGTATGCGCGAGTTGCATACAGAGAATGTAGAATTAAATCAACAAAAAGGATGAATCTTATTAATCACCGACACTCTCCGACTGTACAACACTTTAACCCAATATAATAATAATAACTGCGTAAACCACTCTACACTTGACCATTAGTTAATCTGACTAAGGTAACTTGGATCTGCCTTAATGTACGAGTGTACTGATACCTTAAAATTACTTTGCTTCCGTCATTCCGTTATGTGTACTTTCTGTCTTTTTTACCGCACGTCCCGTAAATTCAGTCTAATATGCACCTCTGGATGATCGTAGTGGTGACAAATTCCACCGCCAACCAAACTTCTCATCAATATATGTAATAAATACATTCATCATCACTTCAGTCACATCGCCCCTAATGTAAACCCAGTAAATATTAGTATATATCCTACAATTTCTTCTCCAAATTGTTCGATTGGTTCTTGCCACCATCACCCATTTTTCATCACCTCCATTCTAATTCCTCTTCAGAATGACACCTGGACGCGGTCGATAAATGATCGTTCTATCAACTATTTATCACCCATGCAATTTATATTTCATTGTTACAGATCTCACAATAATTGTTCAAAATGTAAGGCATACTTCCCGATGTAGTGGAAATAGATACTTATAACGTTGTTGTATCTCGATTATCTCTCTGTTAGATTCTTTTTCTTGAAAGCTATGTCAAGTACTTCTCTATTTTAGAGATAAAAATGCCAGACAATCACACCAAGTTTCTGATCTTAAATTGGGGAATTTCCTGTACTATGAGCGCCCATAGTACTAACCGCTGTGCCACCGAGAGCATAAGCACACCCCGTAATGTTCTGAACCCGACCACGCGCTTCAGGCCGAGCCCGATTCCACCGTAGGTGGGGCACATGTCTCGTTTGTTATACAAGTAATAAGGAAATAATACGCAATATGATAGTAATATTAATTAAATTTTAATAGGTACATAGTTTAATTGAAAGACCAAAATAATATCAAAAATTATTCTTTACTGGTTGGTAAAACTAACTTGTACTAAACTAATTTTAATGTTTTATTATACATTACCATACTAATTAATAATAAATCAAATCAAAACGCACTCGCGCACATTAGCACGCACTCACACGCACTCGCACGCTCTCGCAAGCAGACACTCGCATGCACTCGCACGCTCTCTCACGCACATACTCACGCGCTTTCACTCGCCCTCTGACGCATTCGCACACATTGGCATGCAGTACACACACTCGCATATATTCGCACGCTCACATTTGCACGCACTCGCATGCTCTCTCACGCACTCGCACACAATAGCATACACTCACACGCACTCGCACGCTCTCGCAAGCACACACTCGCACGCTCTCGCAAGCACACACTCCCACGCACTCGCATGCACTTGCACGCTCTCTCGTGCACACACACGCTCTATCACGCACTCGCATACACTCGCACATTCTCGCAAGCACACACTGGCATGTACTCGCAAGCACCTAACTCACTTTGTAAGATTATAACTATCTAAGTCTATGTATATACTTATCTTTTTGGTTGCTGGTTTTAGTCGATAATCCATGATCATTTTTGTTACATCACTAATTTACACGTGCCATTCTGCGACGTTAGGCATGAGAACTTATTTTGTAATAGGCTGCTCGCTACGCAGAGCGTTGAGCGCAGATTGCATTTTGTCTAGCACACAATGAAATTTGAGTTTAGCTGTGTTGTGATTGTAACGAAAGTTTCTTAATTATTTTAAGTTTTTTCGTGTCTACTTTATTAAAACAGGTTTTAAATTATTGAAAAAGACAACCGTGAAATGAGACGTCTCCTTTTGACCGACTGACACTCGCACTTTATTTAGGCAGTTAGAACCAGCACAACATGGCAAATGCAAGCAAGCAAGTAGCCCCGACCACATCGCCGTTCTATCTAGATTTATTTCTGTGATGTCAATGCTTTAAAGTAGGTGTACATCATTCTTTGTTGCTTAATAGCCGCTCGCTTAACAGCTTCACAAATCTATACGCTATTCCACTGCGCCTTGAGCCTCTTTCTTCTCACCACGTAAATCACTATTCATATTAATGGCTTGCTTGTTCGCGCTATTGTATTGCAAAATTTTGCTTAACTTAATTTTATAACGTGTAACTAACGTCTAACTCCTTGTCAGTGTTATTATTTTTGTGCGTTTGTTATTACTAACGCCTCATTGTTGGCCAATTTATCAATTGTATTATTTTATTGAATTCTATACATTTTACCCAATTCATATTTACAATGAAAAATCGTTAATGACTAAGCTAATATATATTACCAAAATAGTCACGGCCTGCGCACAAAGACCAGTACATTCGTTAGGAATATTTATCTTCTTGGGTATAATGTTGTACTTATAACTGAGATTTGGTTATTAGGCGGTGTACATAACAGTGAGCTTTTTGACGATCGGTATCTAGTCTGGAGGCAATTTTGGGCAAATGTCGCAAACTCTTGGTGGCGGATCTCTGTTCCTTCTGGGAACCTAAATAACAGTGGTAGTCGATTTACCTCCCAACTAACAATTTGACGATAAAACGTGCTCTATAACCGCTGTTTATTAGTTTTAGCTCTCGTTTTATAGCCAAATTATTAGTTGGGAGGTAAATCGATTACCACTTATATTTAGGTAATTGTTCTCCCAAAAGGAACAGAGATCCTCTACCCAGAGTTTGCGACATTTGCCCAAAATTGACTTAAAGCCATATACCCGATTTCTGATCTTTTGGTCGAACCGTTTATCCCGGAGACCAGTTCGATTCTTGGATGTTGCACGTTGCGCTGGGCCGCTAAAGCGACCTGCGAGAGGCTATTGACTGTTTGCTAGCTGTAGTTTTTGTTTCAAAAATATTCTTTTTATTGATGACGGAGCTGAAAGATTGTCATGGATCATGTGATCATGGAGCAGGCAAAGGTGGATTGAACAAGGAGGTCTTAATAATCGACACAGATATTAAAAGGACTTAGGAAATGAAACTATTTTTCCGGATTTAAATCGCGTATATTTATTTTTTCAAACAAACCGACGTTTCGGGCCCTTTGCAGGTCCCATCCCATCAACCGTGACTATGGGACCTATAATATCTGGATAAATAGGTTTTTTCCTATGTGTAACAATCGCGAAAACCTAAGAACTCGATAGTTAAAAGGACTTAGTTTACCTGCAGTCCTAGCTGTCACGATTCGATATTCCTGTAAAAGATCTTTTTTTTTCGACAGTTTTCTTCAAGTCACACAGCGAAAAATGTATTGTATTTTGATCTCCGTTTGATGTGAAGTAAATATAGCTTCGAGTAGAGTCCAAATAAAAGTCATTGATACCATTTAATATTTTATATTTATAAAATTATAACAAATTTAATATAATAAATATGCCTCCGTAATATACGGATTCACAAATAATATAATGTCATTAAATAAAATAACAAATCACTTATTAAATAATCATTTGGTCATAAATACCTAAATATTATTTGTCACGATTAAATAGCTGAGTTATTTTTTAAATATTTGAGTTCTTCGAAGATCTGTGGAATTATGTAGGAAGTGTATAAATTAATTGACACTTATATTTTGACGTTCACGATTTTGTTACCAAAACGTACATTATGTACAACGTACAATCATAAATACATCAATATATTTTTGTATTTCAAAATCGGGTATCCTAATTATCCAAATTTATCAATATCGACACATCACTATTCCTCAAAGTTATTGTAGATATGCTCCGCGACAAACTCATGCGGAATGTTAGTATAAGTAACCTAATCAAGGAACTTGACATGACGTAAATATTATTTTGATTAATTTGCTAATATATTTACACGTAAGGCAATCTAGTCTATATCTACAATCCAAATCAGTCTTAAGCACGTCACTGAGTTTTCAGTGGCCTGCTAGGTGCACCTCTCATGTACATATCATTCAACTACGGGCAAACATTAGGCGAGCATATTTGTGCAGCCCTTGCACCTTGGAATGTACCTCAACGTAACTTGCTATTTACATTTCAAGGTTAATAACCATTTTGTGTTGGCTTATTATCAATATTGCGCATTTTTTTTGATCCTCCAGTTAAGTGCTTTTCAATCTCCTCCAGACTTTTACCTCGAGTCTCAGGTACAAAGAATATAACGAAAATTAATCCCAATGTGCACACAACTGCGAACAACCACCATGTGCCGTACATATTAATAGTGGCTATGATCGAATGGAATGTTTTCGTTACCATGAATACACACATCCAGTTGAAACCAGTCGCCATAGAAGCTGCAGTGCCACGGATTCTTGAAGGCAATATTTCTCCTAACATCAGCCATGGCACCGGACCGAAGCCCAAAGAGAATCCTAGTACATAAATTACTAGGCACGCTAGAGGCAACCAACCGTAGTTGCTTACGTCGATGTCAGTGGCTTCTTTTATGTAAAAATATGCTCCTAGACCTGATAAAGTGAGGATCATGGAAATGGAGGAGACGTACAGTAGTATTTTTCTCCCCAAGCGATCAATGACTGCTGTGGCCAGGAATGTAGATACAAAGTTGACGATACCAATAATCGTCGTAGACAGATTTTCATCAATGCTGCCGCCAGCATCCCTGAAGATGGTTCCAGCGTAGAATATAACAGCGTTAATGCCGCTTAATTGTTGGAACAACATCAATCCTAGCGTTATAAGAATTGCTGGGACGTACTTTCTGTTTAACATTTGCATGAACACATTTCCCCGGGTTCGGTCTGCTTCAGCTTGAGAACGAGTGAGAGCGCGCATTTCTGTCTCAATATTGATATTCTTGCCTCTTAACCATTGCAGAGATTTTGTTGCATCTTCAACACGTCCTTTGGTCACGTACCAGCGCGGAGTCTCCGGCGCAATAATCATAAGTAAAAAGAATGGCACGGGTAACGCAGCACCAAAGAATGCTAGTTCATACCAGGATAAGTAGGAACCAACGAAGTACGCCAGAAGAATTCCAGTATTACCAAAGGCTGTGGGTAATAATCCAAGTGTGCCTCGTACTTCTGGCTGAACCGTCTCTCCAAGATAGACAGGGAAGGCCAGGGAGCCCACTCCTACGCAGATTCCAGAAAATATTCTACCGGCGAATACCATCATTACGTTGGTTGCAGTGGCGATTAGCATCCAACCAACAAAAAATGGAACAGCAATTCCCATAATAGTTTTTCGTCTCCCGAGACTGTCGATTAAGGGACCCCCGGCGATGCCTCCAACCAAAGCTGCCAGCGGCATCAGCCCTCCAATCCAGCTGTGCTGTAATTTTAAAACAAAATCATTTAAGAAACAGTAATATATTATTATTGTGACGTCTTAATTATCAATAACCAGAGTAGTAGAGCAATTTTTACTATTTGCGTCATGCGGTCATGGAATGGATACACACATATATATATCCATAATCCATAAGGTGTATCCATATACATGGATACACCTTTATTAACAAATCATTATCAAATAATTTCTGGATTAAAAAATTAATATCTCAGTGATTTGCATGTTTGAGTGTAAAATTTATATTTGTATGGATATATATTTTTATACCGTTTCGAGTCTTAACATTTGCCATATTTGAGCCGTTGTTGCTTTTAAATGTCCAAACTTCCAAAAAATGTAAAAAAAATTTTTGCTTAAGATAATGGTTAAACCCTTTCAAATAAACTACGTAGGATATAAAAACATAAGTTTTATCTCATCCAAGATAAAAACGCTTCGCTATTTGACCAATAAATGGGAAGAATATTTTAATCTACAAAGTAGTAGCCTGTATTGTAATTTACACCAATTAAGACAAAAAATGCCCTTTATTATAACATTTTTTTGACTTACATTTTGTAAACATTTTAATAATAATTAAAAACATACTCGCAGCGCTAGTAACGACTCACTAAAGTTTCAATTTGATACATAGAAAGAACATGTTTCGATTTGCACAGTTATAAATATTTTTAATTACATAGTTTCGATTAGCTGCATTTTTAAAATAAGTTTATTTATATACAAAATATTTTTCATTACAGTTTATTATTATTGAATACAATTAATTTTAGTTAACTGTATTTATAAAATAATATTATTTATTTCTTTGTTAAAGGATACTGTTAAGTGATTAAGTACAACACAAGAAATGCACTCCTCGAATCAAAGCAAGAGAGTGAAATGAATAAGCTAATACATTGAATGTTTGAAAATAGAAAAAGACAAATCGTAAAATTCGAGTTAAACAGCGTGCGTGATTGCCTGGCAATATGAAGCATCTTTTACAAAATCAAGCAAATAAAAACTACAAGTGTGAAATACAGTCAACTACATGTTTGTAGAAATCTATCATTCGTATTGTTCCGTTGAAAAATCTGTGGAAAAGCATTGTTCACTTGTAATACGGTGGCAAAGTGGTGCTGGCAAAGAGCCATATCCTTATTAAAGTCTGTTATAATTGACCCGTAATTGCTCTATCTACTCCGATTACTGCTTCTTACGGTAGATAAGAATAATAAATTAACAGTCAGCTAACAATATGACGTATTCCACTTTCATTGATAGTAGTTTTTTTTCTTTTTTTTAAATTTCGCAATTCGTTTGTGTTACTGTTTAGAAAAAAAAAGTATTATGAAGCTTACCTCTTCATGTGAAAGTGACAAAGTGACGTTCATTTTAGGTAGAGCCGGTGAAGTGTAGCCTGATGAAAAGCCGACTATCAGAGATCCCATTGAAACGGCAAATGCAGCAAGCAACTGTAACAACACACAAACATATTACTATTTAATTTTATTGTTTTATATCACTTTATATTTCTATTTTGTACATAATTTAAGACCTGAGATTTTTTGCCGGTATTTATCATATTATTTTGAATGATTATAATAATCAAAAAGTACAGAGTGGAATATCACATTTCATAGTTGTGTTCAAAGGAAGTTCGCCAATGGATATGGACTCTACGTGGGCGTTTCAGGGCTTATAAAGCAGGGTTGTTTGTCCATATTATAGTACATGCACTTGTAGGCTAGTAAACAAGTAAGAATTGCTTCGATCACATGTTGTAAAAATATTTTAAGAAATACAAAGAGAGTAACACATGTAACCTATATCTGAAATAAATTTATTAACGCAACTTACGACATTTTTGTATTTATTTATAAAAGTTTTGAAATTAATTTTGAATTTGAGAAACATTTTGTATCGGGCACTAAGTATTTGTCACTTAATCAACAATGAAATGATAAATTTTTGAACTATACTCCTACAACTGCGAGCACAAAACGAATATGATTTTTTTTTTAGTAGGCTCTTTATTGCAGTTCTTATCGCTGAATGTAACCAGTAAAGCAAGAAATGCACGCAAATTGTGTATATGATACCGATTTCCTATTTACAAAACAGTGATACGTGAGTATCGGATTCGTATTTATAACAGGAAAAGTCTTTATGTCATGCGTAATGTAATGCACTTAAAACTCACCTGTTTCCAAATAAAGATCTTTTGAGTAGTAGCACCGTAAGGTTTTACATCGCCGTTAATCGAAAACTCCGGTTTCACTTTGTGGCTGTCAATGCTTAATTGCTTGACGAAAGGCACGGAATTCCGTAGATTCTCCTCCTTGGCGCTCTGCTTTATTTCCATTTCCATTTTGTATTTGAACTCGTTTCCTAAGCTGATTTGGCGAAGTTGTTGGAAATGTCTGCGGGTCTTGTCAAAGGAATCTTCGTCTTCTTCGCTGCTGCTATCCGTAGAGGCGTTCTCAGGGATTGAGGGGTAGTTAGGAGCGAGAGTTCCCTGCAAAAATTAATTATCGTTAGGAACATGTCACGGAAGTTATAAACACTCGTCGTCTAATAGTTTTTCAGTGTACGTAGATTAACTTTCTGTAGACTCACCTGAGAGCCGCAAGAAGCCGCCAAAGAGGTGCAAGTAGTGGATGCAGAGAGGGTCGGCCTGGAAGGCACACGAGCGTATTTTGGCCCGCGTGTCCGGTAAAGCCGTTCTTCGTCGCCTTGCCCACGACGATTTTCTTCGCTTCCACCCTGGAATCATACGTCCACATGAGGTGACTGAATATAACACATACCACTACGCGATTGCAATTAGGATTAAAGATATTAACCGTTTGATATTGGGTCAAGAGACACTAATTATATCGATATTTAATTGACCACTCAAGCTCACCGGACAAACAGAATTGAACTTGCCATCCGAAAACGCACCCCATTTATTATATCGGTTATCTAAAGTACGTAAGACTGTAGGAAACCGATAAGTTTGTGAACTATAAAGAACGGGGTCAGACCTCTAGAAACATTTGCTTATTGACCAACAGCTATCATATGACTACAACGTGTTCCTTCTGATAACTCAGCGATACATATAGCGAAAACACTGACCCTCTCGTCGGGTCATTTCCATATCAAACATCACTTTATGCGATCAACAAGGACCTTTTACTGCCGTATTGTCTCAACTATAAATACTCGCGAAACAATTATTGTACAAGACGCGAGCTCTGAATAATGAACCTGTCTAACACTGATGTCCATGGCGATTCTAGATGGTATCGAACAATCATAACGATATTTATAAAATATTTTGTATAAACACTCTCTTGGTTTATCATACCTTCTAACAATGATGCGCAGCCATTACAATAATAACATATTATCATGTCTTTTCTATATTATTTGTTTACACGCTGGACTTTTTGGACTCGTTACTACATAAACAACAATGCTGTTTCCAATTGCTCTCGTAGTATTTACCTCAAATGCATTAGTGAAAGTGTTGTACTTGAGCCATACATTCATTTATCAAATCTCTACATTAATTTTAGTTCTACAAAATATTGCAAATGTAATTTTGTTTTTAATAAATTTTGCAACCATTTTTTTGGATAGGCAAAGGTTTTACTTAAACTATGGTTTTTTCCATCCTTTATGAGGTTTTACCATGTTTGACACGCGATTGTCGTCATCGTGAAAAATTGACAACTGCATAAAATCTCCCTTATTGTTGTACCAAATTATATAGACAAAATAAATACTCAAATTCACACAAGTTAGGTAAAACAGACGTTATTATTTATGACTGCATACATATTTGTATAATTAATATTGCATATAAATAAGTTAATCTTGTATGACGTCTTTGGTCATAGTCCCTACAGAAGAGGTCAAAAAATATCACGCGCCTTAGTACCTACTGGTGTTTATTTATCTTCGCTATTGCTTCCGAGCGACGTATCATGATATTATTATATTATCATTCCTTCCGAGCGATTATTTATTTGTATCTAATTATATATTTAATAAATTTTATTTGTATTTAATTATATATGCCTGTTCAAACTAGGTTCATCGATATGCGCTACTTCCAGGCAGAAGGGCGTAATAATCAAAATACAAAGTTTACATGATTATTATAAAAAAAAAGTGTAAACGTTTCGGTGCATAATTAATTTTACAACAATGTTGACGTAATAAAGACATTTTTCGGTCAATAACACAACTTCTAGTAGAGAGAATAAAAGTTTAACCTAATTAAACCAATAACGAAATTTTTATAAATATTGACTTTACACCTTTCCTTTTGCTAAAGATATATTTGGGTCATACAAAAATCTTTCTTTGAATTATAGATATCCTCATTTCATTAAGTTTTCATTTAAAATATTTGCAAATTTTTTAAATTTTCTACAAATAGATAACACTAGCTATGAACTTGTTTCCCTTGGTTGTGATGGGAGTGTCGATATCATGAAGAACCGACCATAACCGAACGATCGTGGCTGTGGCTGTTTGCACCGAAATAGCCACCTTCCTCGGCTTGTGAAACCAAGCCCTTATGTACCCTGTCAACAATGCAGGGTTAAAATGCTTAAAATTCCACATTCTTTTTTAAGGACGGGCGAAACTTAAACACTGTTGGCGTAATCTTATCTAAGTAACTTTAAGTCAATAAACCAATAAACAAATAAATAAACCAACTTAAATGGCAAACGTTTTGTTACGTTTTATTTTTATAAATCATAAAGTAATTAGTGTATTTTTGTTTTTTAATTGGTTGTTTTTGCTTTTTTTTGACCGTTTGTTGTGTAATTATATTAGAGTTTACATTTGGATGCTTTGTATGTCGTAGGTATGTGTGAACACCCCCGTTTTAATTCATATCATCTTTCACATCTGTAGCGACATCTCGCGACAAAGCTTTCAACCAATATCAAACTCTGTATTGTAAGGCACTGCCATCTGTCGACTATGTTGACAACTATACATTTAGATTTGGTCAACTTGATTATTACTGTGTATGGCGGTTTCAGTTTCAGTAGCGCCACTTGCGCCTTTGCGTTACGTGTGACTTAATGCCGGTATTGCAATGTCAGAGTGACACGTGTTACAAATGGCGCTGGCTTACATTTTTATGAGTTTATGCACATTGCATAGCAAGGAATCGTTACATTAATTATTATTTTCGGTGTGTTATATAAATTATTTTATTAAATTCTCAAACGTGTTTAGACTCAAATCAAAGTTAGCACAAATTGAGTTAATGTTACATTTCTTTAATCGATCGCGTATGAATACAGTAATAATGGAAAGTAAGTTGCAAAGCGGTAACACCGCCCTACTCAACCTTGCAAGGCCGTCTGGGCTCGATATTTATGCTCATTCATCACCGCGTCTACTGTGTTTAATAATATGGCATTGTATTCATAAAGCCCAAAAGTTTTATAAGATTGCCATATCAGTATTATGTTTGTACACATTTCGAAGGTGAAATATGATTGGTAGACCAAGAAACCACGTGTTGGTTGCTTGGCAACGTCTTTTATCGACCTGAGCTGCAGAACGCTGTGTAATTCGCGCCTGCCCCGAGTTTTCAGACTCCTCGAAAAATCGCGAAGCTTCCTGTGCGACCTAGGTCATTCTACATTCCGTAAATCAATAAATCTTCTTTTAAGTATAGCATCTATAACGGTTCAAGCTTCGAGTGTACGAACACGTTATTCTTTTTTTTTAGTGGAAAAATAAATAACTGAGTGATGATTAATAAATACTTACTATGCAAAGAATTCTAATAGCTGGACAATACTGTGAATGGATGATGATGAATAGTTTTGAAAATATTACTTACCTTTTCTATGGATAGCTTTTTGAGATATCCCATGATCTTCCCCATCGCGTTAGGATTGTTCTTATTGAAGCTCATCTTGATGCCGTCACTTGGACTTGAGAGGGTTCAATAATTGTTGTCTTAGAGGCGTTCACTGAAACGGTGTCAAGGAGCGTCTAAGTGGTAATGTCTACAATATGTATGTCTGTAAATCACAATCACACTTTGTAAATCAGTGCTTTTTAGAGAAAACAATATGGTCCAGTTTCGCGAAAATCACCAGTCAACAATTCACATCACTCCGGTGTTTAAATTGTCCTATGCGATTTACCACGATTGCTGTCCTCAACGGTAAAACACAGCCACGATTCGACACAGTTCATTGAATTTCGTTTTATTTAACTTTTTTATTACTGTTCGGGAATTGTTACATTCGAGTTTATACTTCGCGCCGTTGGTTTCTGCATAGGTTCACAACATTCAATTTTTTCCAGTTACTCTGCATAACGTACGAAAATGTTGGCAGCGCGGTCCTAGTGCTACAAAGTTCAAGTTACAGATGGTAACTTGCAGATGGCAGCGCAATGTTTTATAAGGTTGGCATTGCTTGTCGCTTGGCGCACGCCGCCGCGCCGCGCCCCCCACTACTACTATACAGGCGTAGTTTTCCATATGTGTGGTTACCACCGTATTTGACTGGTGTGAGTTCACGCACACTACGATTTTTATAATCTAGACAGGGTAGAGCGTCAGCGTTCCGAAAAAAAGGGTGACGATGTGACTATATCTTATACCACTTTACGAGTTACTTTCTACCCTTTATGACTCAAATTTCCAGCATCCCAATTTTCATATAAGTAAAAGATCAAAATATTTTGGAGATGTTTTGAATGTCTGAATATTGCTACTTTTAACATTCATGAAATCGAATTGGACTGGAAAAGACGTGACGAGGCGGGTGGAGACGAAATAATATGAGACGCGTCAACTGCATCTAAACTGATTTCTCACTATATTTCAGTGAGGATCTGTCACATTTCTTGTTAGATATGTAGCTTTATAGCGCTGTGTTTTTAATTTTTTTATCGAAAAAAAAATTGAGGAAATGCAGCGGTTTTACTGCCGTAACGCCAAAAACACGCACGACAAACGTTACAATATCGCTGTGACGTCACCTGTCGCCAGCGGATTCTGTCTAGCCGAGTCAAGCAAGATTCAAAAGCTGTCACAGTCAATCCTCTGATTTGTATTCTTCACGATACTTTTCGCATGTGTAGTGGTGGTAATATTGAATTGTGCAGAAATGCAAGAATACGAACGCGTCTACTTAACGAAAGTAAGATAAAAATAGTGTAATGTAATAATGAGACGATAATGATAAAATTCGTGTTTTAAGTAAAAGTGTTTTGTACTGTTGCGAAGATTATTCTTATGTAACAAGCATGACTGTAAAAAAATAGTTATATTTGAATTACACGTAAGAACATGTACCGATAGCTATATTGTTTGGTGTGTGTGTTTGTTTTACAACTCTCTTTTGAGCTATACAGTCTTCACATCAACGTTTTTTTTCTTCGCGTAATTCTATGCACTTCTAACCACAACCTATAATTTAATTTATTAGTATATAATATATTTTATGTTCGAGGTTTATTTTCACTTTAAAAGTACAAAATGTCTCTTTCCTCATAACTTAAACGAATCCGATTGCATCATCTCCATATATTTCTCCTGCTGATATGCAACAAGCCTAAGAAGGTGGTTATTATAATAAACAATTAAACAGGCATTATTAAACAAAATCAATAAAGTGTCGTAATGCCCACCATAGACCACGTAAAACTTGACACTTAGATTTAAATTCAACTATACCGGGTTGTGTAAAGAAATAGATTCTTCCACAGATGGCGCCACAAAAACAAAAAAGTCGTTAAAAGCAAAGAACTGCAACAAGCACATAAAAAATCCTGAGGTCTGCTGGTTTCGTTCCGTGGCTTAGCTGGCGTAGCGTTTAGCACGGATTGCTGGAAGACGCTGGTTTGATTCCAGCCGGATCGAAGGAGTTTTTCTTAAGTGTTTCAATCTTTTAATTAATAATCATAACAAACGAGTGGAGTAATTTCACAAGAAGAAATTAATATCATAGCAGTAACACATCGTGACATTCAATAAAACTTAAAACTTTCAACTACTTATACTTATCCAAAGTCGATTGTGTCAAGCTTGATGTGCCCTTGACTGCACGTCGATCATAAAACTCTTTTTTAAATGTACTTACGTCCCTGGATTAGAAATGTCTTGTATCGAGACTTGTTTATGTTATTACACAGATGGCTTGCACATTGCACCCGCGCATTGCACTGTGGCCAGGTAGAAACCTTTCACGTGGCACTATCGCTTCACAGCAAATCATAGGGTCGTATTCTAGAACTCTACTCAATGCTTAAGTCAGGACTTGAGTATGATTCAAAGCACTAGAAATCATACTCAAGTCCCTGCCATTAATGTCGTATTTCCAGTGCTTGTGTTGCCAGTGCAATCCTGACTTGAGCATTGAATAAAGTTCTAGAATACGACCCATAGTGTCCTACTCTATGTTATTTAGTCAAAATATGTACGAAAACCTATAAGTGACACCTATGTCAAGTTTATTTTATTGTCCCAACGATTGAGTGCCTAAGTTTCGATTATTATTAACTTCAGGACAGGGTTGATGTGTGAATTTATTTTGGATTTTGTTGTCAGCAACAATTTTTCTTTTCAACATTTTAATCAATCTAGACAGCTGGCTTAACAGCGGAAGACTTTTAAGAGGATTATCGAATTTTTGTATATTATACCAGTAAATTGGTATGAAACTGCAGATTTTAACATAGTCACTATTATTCCTTATTTCTGTGGGCGAGTTTGAAGAAACTTGAAGTTGATAGATTTTTGTGGGGTAAAATTATATCGGAATCAACGGAATCGTTTTATTTTTCGAGTTCAACTGTTAGATTGGTTTGATTGAGACTTATTAGTTTTCATCGATGTTTTTTATTTGGTTTTTTTGTTTTTTGTTTTTGTACTTTCATATGATGTGAAGACAACGAATCGTAACTTATGATTATAGCAATTGGGCACGTTCGATCATCCCTGGTACACTGTCATAGTGCCATCTCAGTTTTACCGTTTGCAACCTTTTCTAAACTATACTTAGTATCCAAAGAAAACATATTTTATAACCCTTTTCCTTTTAGTTCTTATTTTAATTGGAATTTTCCATTGGGTTTATTCAACCGCTAAAAAGGGAATAACATAATACTTTTCAATTTTGTTGTAACGGTTACTTACGTACTTGTAGCTAGTAATTAGTCGTATTATTTATTTTATTATGATTGTGCCCATGTTTTTCGCATTGATGACGTGACATAGGAGGTGTGCTACGTGCTTTCCATTAGGCAGCACATATTGCTGACATTAATTTTGTCTGTGGTATTGTAAACTGTAATGTGTGCTGTGCGTCACAGGTCACCTTGCCTGTACATTATTGTTAATAAAAATTGTGTACGGTCTACCATTTAAGTTTGCTGCTATTCTCTTTGATGGATTATGTTCGTGTAGAGCTACTTGATGAGTTGCCTGTACAATATGGAGGCGGGTCACTGCGTCACTGAACCGCCCGCAAACCAATTGGAGCTGTCTACAGTTTGATTGACTGAATTCGATGGTGGACGTATTTCTATTGTACTTTTAATTTTAAGGATCTAATAATCTGAAATTGCACGTTTAGCTATAGCCTATATAGATATTGGACTCAAACCACACTACATAAATTTAAATGCTATGAGTTCATACGTTACCTACTAAATGTGAAATTTTAAGTATGTCCATTTTTAAGTTGACTTCAGTTTAAAGTCGCTTCTTAAGCAAATAGTGTACAATTTCTAGCAATACAAAGCAAATTAATATTTAAACGCAAATTTCAAACGTCTTGTCTCTACCATTTTTTAATATGCAACTGCGAGGTCCAACCTTGAAGTTTTTTTATAACGAGCTAGCTTTGATTTTGGAAAAGTACTATCAATCAACACCGTCCATTTTCCTTTTCTAACTTTAATAATCTTTCAAAGTGAATTAATTAGGATGACATGAATGTATCAATGAAATGATCTACAAGAAGTAGTCTAAATTACTATTGGTGTTAACAATAATATGGCAATATCTTAAACCCTCAAACACTACTGTGAAATAATAGTGTTAAGTCTTTCTGCTGTACATTAGAATTCAAATTAGAATACGATTGTCAATACGTGTTTGCTACCCTACTTTGGTAAAAAAAATGCCATATCCATTTAACAAAGGAATCGGACCCAAGGGGACCCCGTGATGGTGTTGAATGTTCTCGATACATCATATTATTGTCATGGTGTATGAATTAATGCGCGTGCACCTAATCACGTGCGCTCGGGTCCACTATATCGTGTCTTGTGTGCGTTGGGTCGACCTTCCCGAAAGCTCTGCCACGCCTTAATACACACACAAGCGTAAATTTTCAATGGCTTTTGCGTCACACACAACACAGCAACGTCATACCAGAAATGGATCAACCTGCCTAAAAAAGCCGATGTACCTGACAATGTTACCGTCGATAGATTTCGTCATTATTACTCAGCTATTACTTGAAATAATGGGATAATTATAAAAATGTGAAAATTGTAACTTTCTCACCCATTTCATACTTCGCTTGTTTGTTAGTGTGGTACTGGTAATAGATATTAATTTTGCAAATGTTTATTTGAAAGTTATTTCCCATCATTGCTATGTTCCATGAACGGTAACGATATAGAGACGTCTCGTCCTCGGCGTCACACAAACACATTCACAAAGGAACACAAAGACATGCACAAAGACACACATACGTCACGGTTTCAAAAATTACAGAATGGAATATTACTAGCGCTGCAAGAGTGGGTCGGCGAGTACCGCTTCGTAGGGTTCTCGAACATTCTTTTCTTCCGTGGAATGTGTGTCCGCGCGTTGTACCCTTGTATCTTACATACGAATACGAGCGAAGTCTTCTTTCATCTTTTCTTGGTACTAATTATATATTTAGATTTTTTTATATAACAGATTGGCGAATTAATCATGACAGTCACCTTAAGATATTTATGAAATGCGTTATGTAACCTTAATATGATGTGTATTTTGACGGAGCGGAGGTGTGTTCTTATCTTTTTACAAGTGATAATGCATGGTCCACTTTATCATACCCCCTCGTACAACTGCCACACAAAATATTTTATCCATTATAAAACGATTAGTAGAACTTGATTGATTAACTTTGATATTATAAAACGATGATACAAAAGGATAAGAAATGAAATTATTATTTTGGATCTGAATTGCGTATATTTGTTTTTTCAAACAAACTAACGTTTCTTATATACATTTTGCAATAAAATTTATTTTTAACTAATAAGGGAAATTAAAATTTATTTGAAAAAACAAATATACTCGATTTACTT